TGTAATTCTGTAACATACCTACAAAAGACAGGAGTTCACTTTTTTCTATTAGTTGAGCTGGTGCCAGCCGTTGAATCAGCAGAGATATGGGCATGTACTTCAAAGGGGAGGACTATTTTTTTCCAGGAATTTAAGATGGGATTTCAAAGAGCCAGGCACCTGATTCCCTTTGGCTTTCAGTCCCTCCCAGCCGGGCATTCCTGTGATTCTATGATCTCTTTTGGATTTCAAAGATCATGAGTCAATGGACCCACAGTTGCATACCAGGGTATCATTGCCCAGTATAGATACCTGCACTTCATCACCTCAGGCCTGGTTTTCAAAGGTGTTTAGGTGCCTGGTAGGGTTTTATAAAGCCTCTAGGTGTCCAAAACTCATTGATTTCAATGGGATTTAGATGCCTAGTTGCTTTTGAAAAACACATTGGTGCCTGGATCCATAAACAGACCCAGGCGAGGTGACCTGCAGTGCGGCAGCACCTAGGTTTAGGCACCTAGGAAATCACTTTGAGAAAAATGAGCCCCCAAGCTCCCTATACGACGAATAGGGTGAAACAGACAGCCACAAAAACCAGTATGCTCGGAGCGGAAGAGCCTGAGCTAGCCGATGGGAGATGCTGAGGAGAGGAGTGTGTGCTAGCTCAGACAGATGACTAAGTCCAGTCAGGGAGGCCCCTGTGTCTGCTAGAGAACCTCGAACCAGGGGAAGATAGGCGCATGGTCCATCTGGGGCCTGATCTGGTTATACCCACTACTTGATGACATCAAATGGATCCTCCCATCTAATCAAACATACCTCACCCTCCCTAAACACCATTCACCAAAAACATCCGCAACATAGAAACTAATCAACCAACCACCCAACAAAATACAGTACATCCTCACTCTAATGAATCCCTGGGAATCCAAGCCATTTGTTCGTTAAAGCCAGAGGTTCATTATAGCAAAAGAGCCCTGCTGACGGGGCAGAGGCTGACACTTTGAACACCATGGCCATAGTGGAGGCTGACAGCTCTTCTGGCCCTGAGTTGCTAGTGGGGGCAGAGAGCTCCTCTGGCCTGGGAGTCGGAGCAGGGGTAGAATTTTTACTCCCCACCCTGAAAAAAGGAGAAGAGCCAGAGCCCCACGTGTAACTTTGATATGGTAACTGATTATATGTGGAAAGTGCTCTGATAGCATAGTGATGGATGACAGTAAAAAAGACTCAGATGGATGAATCGATCAATAGATAGAGGGGTATGTATGGAGATAGATGGATAGCTAGACATGATAATTTCATGGTGATAGGTCCATCAATGGCTATTAACCAAGAGGGTCAGGCATGCACCACTGTGCTCTGGGTGTCCCTAAGCCTCTGACTACCAGATGCTAGAATTGGACGACACATGAGGGGTCACTCAATAATTGTTCTGTTCTGTTCATTCTGTCTGAATCATCTGAGATTGGCCACTATGTGAAGACAGGGTATTTATATAGGTGTAAATTTATAGTAACTCCATTGACCTGAGAGCAGTTTTTCTAGATATTTACCAGTGTAAATACCTCAGTGTGCATAAACGGATTGCACGTTATGTTCTCATGGAGACAATAATGTCAAGAGTTGATTATGTTTATAAAGAAACACAGACTGAGATGATGGTCATGGGAGAAAGATGGCCATCTTATTTTTTTGGAGAATAGCCTTGACTCAATCATTTTCCACAGGGCAGCTTCCATATACTTTTTCCTCATGCTATAAATAATTGGATTGATCATGGGAGGCACCACGGAATAAAAAGAGTCAGCATGAGATCCAGACCTGAGATTGAGCTGGAGGTGGGGTTAATATAGGCAAAACTAGCAGTGGAAACAAACACGGAGTCCGCAATGAGGTGAAGGATGCAGGTGGAGAAGGCTTTATGCTGGCCCCGCTCAGAGGGGATTCTCAGCACTGTTTTGAAGGTCAGAACAAAAGACACAATTATAAAAAGTAGCTTAAGGCAAAGTACACACTAAAGGCAATAGCCCCAGTTTCACTGAGAGATGAGTCATAGCAAGCAAGTTTGAGGAGCTGGGGGATTTCACAGAAGAACTGATCCATCTCATTGTCTCCATAGAAGATTTTTGCAAATGTGTTCCCGGTGTGCAGTGCAGAATTGAGAACTGACTGCCATTAGGTCACAAGCTCTCATGTTCATCATTGACTTGTAGTGCAGTGGTTGGCACATGGAGATGTACCGGTAGTCAGTAAGCGAAGCTCAGCTGTAGTGAAGAAAAGGAAGAGAAAGACTTGGGCGACGCATCCGTAATACAAAATGGCCATGGTGCTCATGAGGGAATTGGCCATGGACTTTGGGATGATGATGGAGATGGAGCTAAGGTCTAGGATGGACAGATTTATTAGGAAGAAATACATGAGTGTGTGAAGATGGTGGTCGAGGGTATGGCTGTGATTATGAGAAATTTCCCATCAAGGCTGCAGGGTAAATCACTAGAAACACCATGAAATGAAAATTCTGCAGCTCCCGAATGTCAGAGAATTCCTGGAGAAGGAACTCAGTCACAGTTATTTGGTTGGACATATTCTTCCTCAGTACATCATGTGATGGCTGTGGAGGGAAGTACAAGGGCAATGGCCAGGCTTCAGCTGCAGTCACTATAGACCTTGCTGGAGCCCTAGGCATAACTAACAGTATGAACCAAAGACTGGAAACCAAACTAGGCCTGACC